CTACTCAGCTGTAAAAAAAAAAAAAAAAAAAGAATGAAGTTCTGTCATTCACAACAAAATGGGCACAACTGGAAATCATTAAACTTGGTGAAATAAGCCAGTCCCAGAGATAAAAATAGCATATGTTTTCCCTGATCTGTGGTAACTAACAAAGTACCAAAAAACATGGATTGTATATGATAAAAATTGGCATTCTGAGATTTGTTGATTATTTACAGCCCTTGCTTCTACTGTTGATGATCAGTGTTATTTTTTGCTATTTGTTGAACTCTTTATATAGTGTAGGGTTAATCTTATGAGTGTAAAATAAAATGAAAGTAGATCACTGTAAAAATTAAAACAGAATAAGAAAGGAAGGATTGCTCCTCAATCTGTATATATGACATACATGGAATTTGTTCACCTTAAAAACTAAATAACTTAATTATTAAAAAAGAAACCAAGTTTCCTAGGTAAGCCAGAAAGACAAAGTCGTTGTACAGTGGGTTAAGCCCCTGCCTGTAACATTGTCATCCATGTGGGTGCCGGTTCTCATCCTGGCTGTTCCATTTCTGATTGAGCACCATGCTAATGCTAAAGTGCTTGGGCCCCAGCCATCCATGTGGGACACCTGAAGGAATTCCAGACTCCTGGCCCAGTCTTGGCCGTTGCAGCCATTTAGGGATTGAACAGTGGATGGAAGATCTTTCTCTCTTTTACTCCATCGCTCTGAAACTCTTTCAAATTAATTAATTAAAAAAAGAAAGCTGGTAGACTAGCATTAGAAAGATACTCATCATGTTGTTTTTTAAAAATTGCTTTATTTGAAAGGCAGAGTTACTGAGACAGAGAGAGAGACAGAGAGAGAGAGAGAGATCTTCTATCCACTGGTTCACTCCCCAGATGGTCACAATGGCCAATGCCAGGCCAAACCCAGGAGCTTCTTCAGGTCTCCCATGTGTGTAGCAGAAGCCTAAACATTTCTTTCTAAATGCACGAGTGTTCGTTCTTTCTTTTTCTTTCTCTCTCTCTCTCTCTCTCTCTCTTTTGACAGGCAGACAGTGAGAGAGAGAGAGACAGAGAGAAAGGTCTTCCTTTGCCGTTGGTTCACCCTCCAATGGCTGCCATGGCCAGCGTGCTGCAGCCGGCGCACCACGCTGATCCGATGGCAGGAGCCAGGTGCTTCTCCTGGTCTCCCATGGGGTGCAGGGTCCAAGGACTTGGCCCATCCTCCACTGCACTCCCTGGTCACAGCAGAGAGCTGGTCTGGGAGAGGGGCAACCGGGACAGAATCCGGTGCCCCAACAGGGACTAGAACCCGGTGTGCCGACGCCGGAGGGCGGAGGATTAGCCCAGTGAGCCGCGGTGCTGGCCTCTAAATGCATGAGTTTTAAAACCTATAGTATGTGGCTAATTTCCCACTGATAATAAATAGTAGAGTTTAATCAGGAGGGAATTTATAATGAGTTTTGTCCATGTACTGTTGAGATTAGAGATATATATTTAAATTAATTCTAGAGAGGATAAACAAATCCCAAATATCAGAACTGAAAATCATTCTTATTACCTGGGTAACCTCTTAGTTGTAACTTGTTGTCACCAGTTATTTTACCAAATCCAGTAGCAC